TTAACGCTATTTTCAGTGTTGGAAACACACTGACACAACCCTTGACCTGTTCTACTCGCACACAGGCCCAGATGCACAAACACAGTGTTATTTGTGTGTTGTGTCCTGTAGTGACTTCACAGGCAAACAGCTCTCTGTAAACAGAAAGTGGCAGAGGGAATGAAAACATCCTTTAACATTGCTGCTCTCACCGGCTGCACAGTTCAATTCCTCCTCTGTGCTTAATGCTGCAGCCCCAGATTTCACAGGTTTACAGAGGCCTCATGTGGATGACACTCATCGTTCCATTCTGTACAAAAGTTTTTATTCATGAGACCTTTACTGGAAAGATGCCTTCATACATTAGTTACAGGTTAGTCCTCTGAGCTCATTACACTAGAACTGCTTCAAGACAATTTCCTGAAAGGTTCCAGACTGGTTGTATGGGAGAATGCAAATGTTGCAGTCAGTTGCTGTGACCATTTTCCAGAGCTTTTCGTGCGAGTGAAACGTTTTGAAAATGTTTTGAGCTCATGTGAGAATAGTGTGATGATGACGTTTCTTAGAAGCAGCAGATGCAAACTGAAAAAAAACAAACATGTCCTGCCTCCTGTGTAGAACATGCAGGAGGCAGGACAACCCACGCCTGAATGTTCCAGACATTTAGCTGTTGGTGTGAATGTGTCCGTGTGTATTGGGTCTACTAATGACTGGCTTAAGCTCCATGTCTATTCAGTTCATTCTAAGGTTGGAGAATCTGTGTTCGGCGTCTTTGCAACATTCACTACAAAGAACTTCAAATATCTACTTGTCGTTATCTGTTAATCTTTTCAAATGTAGGATCTCAAACATTTCAACTTCCATAACTACTTGTTTTGTTTGATTTTAATCTTATACCTTTATTATTTTGCCTATCGTCAACATTATTGTAAATGACACGATTGCCCTCAGTGATTTTCGAGTTTAAATAAAGACTTATATAGAAACAAATGGGACAGAAGATATATCTGCAGTATAGTCTGTCTGCAGCTTCCCCTCCTCATGTGCTCCCAGAGCCTTTCCCTGAGAGTGCGGCCTACTTTTCAGAACACCAGGAATATCCAGCAGGGTGCTATTAGCGCTCCTAATGTGAACCAAGCAAAGAGGGAATAGAGAGAACGGAAACCTGCGGATAATTGCGGAGCTAAAGACCTCTCGCTCCTTCACTCAAGCATATAAAGCAGCCTCTCTTGTAGAGACACAAGCAGACAGTCAAGTGTGTGTGCGCGCCTGCAAACGTGGCCGTGCTGTGTATGGTTTGCGCGAGGGGCAGTGGCACGTACATATTCATTTGGTAATCTTGAGCGGAGCATGTGTCAGTCTTCTACCAGTTTATGTAAAGAACAGAGATCATTGAATGTGATAAATCAAATGAAGTGTGATACAGAGCTAATTGCATTAGTGCAGGGGAGCTATTAGCAGCTGGAGTGGAAAAGTGGCAACTTTAAATATAGAGGGAGTTAAAGTGCGACTGCGAGAAGAGACATTAGCACATAAAGAGCAGAGGTGCAAAGAACAGTAACAGTATCGTTAGTAAGTGGTGCTTCTCTGAAAATAGACCCAAGCACAAGACTGTTTTCCATGAGATACTGAAATATGTTGAATAAATGTTGCTTTTTATGTCAAAGATAGCTTTTTGTTGGTATGGGTGCCTCCTCTCTGTACCTGGGCATATTTTTCTCCTGCTTTAAATCTTGAGATTCACCCAAGGTGGTTTTACTCAACATGCGTTTAGTCTTTCCCCTTCATTAAGAGACGATAAGTTGGCATTTGGGAGCTGATTTAGCTAAATCCCTGCGTCTGGAGCACACAGACATGTCTGTAGTCCTCTGAATGTGTCTTTGCCCAAAATTGAGGGCGGAGTGTTACTTGTCCCTCCCTCAAATTGCTGTTGACTTCCATTGAGCTTCATTTATGGCCGTCTCCCTGAAACCTCTCTGCTGCAGGTCGACAACCTTCACACAGAGACATAGAGAAAAGTCAGTGTTGCCAGTGGTTTAAAAGTGGATGGTACATGTACTCGTTTTCAAGAATAATGCCAAAGCTCTATTTGAGTGTCTAAAAATAAGCAGGAGAAATAAATCCTGGCCTGATGTGAGCTCAAGCTGTTTCCAGTCCTGAGGAGGGAAAGAATAACCGGGGCTGCTGTTTGTGTTTGCAGTATCCACTAACGCCCACATGGTGGCAGGATAGAAACACATTGTCCCCCTTGAAGTGCCTGTTTTTATGACATCATTGCCACATCATTCCCGCTAGGGCCCAGCTTCTATAAAACCAGAATAAATATTATAGTGTCCTTTGTCAGGCCAACAAAAATATTTTCCAGCCCTTATAAAATTCAGGCTCTTTTCTTATTCACATGCGAGGGGCGAGGCAGACGCAGAGCGAACCGATGCACAGCTCGAGACCCTAATTGCCTTGAGTGCAGCCTAAAAATAGAACAATCTAATAAATCCAACTCTGGTGTTATGAGTTTATTTAACAGCAAGAGAGTTTTTATTTGGATAATAATGTCCTTCAGGATTCTGAATGTGAGCTATTCTCAGGGTTGTTTCCATGAAACAGAGGTCTAAACTCTTTTCCTGTTTAACACAGGCTCTGATGTTATTTCAGTCAATGGATGAGTAATCTCCACCAGTGATACTGTGTGGTGCTTTGTAGTCCTTAGATTTCATTATGTCCTTGTTGTTTTTTTTCTTTTTTTTAATTCATTTGTTTTGTCTTGTGTTTCTCACATAAAATGTCAATTTCTGCCTTGACCCTGTCTGAGAGATGAAAATAAGCTTTCACAGCTTTTTAATTCAACGCCAATGCTGTTTTTTTTTTTTTTACCAACTAGTAAGAAAGATCATTTGCTGCTTTCAGGCATGAACTGAACTACTATTTCCCTAATATTTTCCAGAGGGGCTCAAATTAAATCAAATATACTTTATTGTCCCATGGGGAAATTTGTCTTGGGCCAAAGTGCTACAGCAGCTGCAGAACAGAACACTGAACAACAAAAAACAGTACACAAGGACATATCACGTAAGACCCATAATAATAATGAAGAATAAAAGTGACTTGAATATCACACCAATTGAATATTGTGAGGCTGTATGTGAGAACGCCAATGTCTGAGTCAGTCGCTCTGGACATTTTCCAGGTCTTTTCCTGCCAAACACCTGGTAAAATGTTCAGAGAATGTCCGAGTCAGCCCTCGTGAGAACGCAGCAGGAGAATACATTTACACCAACGTTTCTGACATGCATAACTGAAAAATTCAAACAATACAAATATCTCTGGATGGAGAAGAGCCGCCACAGCAAGGATGAAGATGAAGTTGTTAACTTGAAAAGACGATGAGATTTTGGGGTCAATGTGCTGATCAAGTGTTTTCCAAAGCGGGATTTATATGTCATGTCCTCCTCCCATCCCGGTGCCACCCCTCGTCTGATTGTTCATTTTCCTGTACATGAACACGTCTGACCTGGACAATCTCCTGCTGAGTTCATGTCTGAAAAAAGTTTGATGAAAGCGTTTCTCTGAGTCTGCAGCAGTCAAACCCAAACACACCCAAATCACAGTCACACTCATCCCGATCTTAAAGGATCCATTCACCTTCTGTTTCCCAAAAATCATATGGAACCATGTGCACGGGCATGTTTCTACCTTTTTCTTCCCAGCAGACATTGGGGGGGGGGTTAGTCAACACCTGTGACTGGCATGAAAGTCCCAGTGAGGTGGACACAAGTTGGAACAGGTGCAGTGTGGAGGCGTGAGCTCTTTGGAACGCTCTTTCATCCCCATCCGAGTGTCTCTATGCACAGTATTTGTGCTAATCTCTCTGTGTGCTAATCAGTTGTCACACTCTCCCCCTCTTCATGCTTTAAAAGGTCTATAAGTGGAAGCTCTGTTTTTCTTTTAATTTGGGGAGTACATGCTCTCCTGGGGGGCTGTGGGTTGCCGGTGGGACAGCTTGCAGCGATTAGGGCCAGTGAGCGCATGTCGCAGCGCTGCATTATTAGCGGGCCAGTCAATCCACAGTGGAAATCAAAAGCAGGGACTCAGGAAATGGGCGTTGAGTGAGGTCATATCCCAGTGAGGCAGCACGTGGTCCAGGTCGGGAAAAGCCAGGACAGGTACCATGGGATTATATGAACGCGCAGTATCCTGTCAGGCCGAGGATTGGCGCACTGCCTTGTCTGAGATTGAAGTCGGCGCATGTGCAGCAGGGGGTCTGTATGTATGTGTGTGTGTGTGTGTGAGATGGTTGTGGAAAGGTGACACAGGTGAGGTGAGCGGTCAGGAGGATTTCAGATTCTGGAGGGAAGCGAGGAGAGGTCACTGCGCCCTGTTGCCTTGGCCCCTGGGTCAGCTCCCTCTCAGCAACCCCTCCAGGCACATGGAGAATGGCGTGATGAAACGGAGGAGTGTGCGTTGAGTCTCTCTCCTGCTTCCCTGCCACATTCGCTCAGTCCCTGCCGAGGAACCTGCCAGGGACACATCTACGGGAAAAGACTGTTAGAGATTGTTGATTGACAGATTGAGAGCTGCTGACACAAAGCGAAGGAGAAAGAAGCTCAATATCAGCGTATTCTGGGAAAATCTCCTGTCCTGCCACAGCAACATACCTGAAGACTAAAATGTACAAACACCGAGTTGTTTTCACTTTTTTCTGAAGTTTGTGGCTTTGATTTCATGTGGATTGGATTTATCGTGTTGAAGAGTTTCAATCGAAGTGAAACGTCTTGGATTGTTTCAGTTGTGGACTTTGGACTTGGAGACTCAACTCTTTCTTTCCCCTTCTCTTCTTTTTGTCCACCTCTATCCATCATATCCTGTCTTCCCCTGATTCCATTTTCTCCTTGTCCTGCCTCCACCCCCTCCCCACCCTACCCCTCTCCTTTTCTCGTAAATCTTTCACCCTGTCCCCCTCATTCCCAACTCCTCTTTTCCCTTTCCCTTTCTCTTTCTTCTCTTCTGTCCTCTCCTCCACTCAGGGCCAAAGACATGAAGAATCGACTGGCTTTCCTGCGGAGGAGGAATGAATCCCCAGGAAGCAATCCAGCCAGCAAGTTAGACAAGTCTATGAAGTCAGTCAAGTAAGTTGCCACTTCCTGACTGCATGTGCCCTGTGGGCGGGTGTGACGCCACTTTTTCCGGGTCTCGACCTGAGGCTGCTTGGAGACAGACATGTGGGCAGCAGGAGAGATGGGTGTGTGCTCAGAATGTGTGAATGGAAAGATGTGTGAGGTGTGTCAGAGGGGGGAGGAAATTAATTGTTTGGATGTTGTTCTTTAATTTTAATAATTTGATAAATATATAGATTCAAACATAGTAATGTAAAATACCACTTAGATGAAGTCATTTTCATGTTTCTATGCCTTTGCCTTGACTTATCAGGGAGATGTAAAAGTTTGTAATAGATGAGCAAATCTTGTTGTACTTTGATAATTTAATGACTTAGATATTAACTTAAAGAACATTTGGACACACAATAAATGTCCTCTGTTGAAGCAAATGACGATATAATAGATTCTTATATTGTTTTCTTATTAATTCAAGAATCTGAGAGAATTACTGTATGTTAACTTATTTACTCAAAAAGCAGCTTCAACAAATGAAAGACAGTCAGCGAAATGAGACGCCAAAGTGCAAGAGCAACTTTTGTTGATTTGTGAGAATAGATGTCTGTGTCAAATCAGGCCTCAGATGTGGATTGCAGTGAGTGGAAGATGAGCCGTGTAGAGAGGCGTGTGTTAAAGCAGGGGACAGAGGAGGAGAGACAGCAGGGGGCAGATGCACACCGGTGGGGGTGGGGTGGGGGAGGAGGTTCTAAACCCAACGGCACATCCCCATTGGCCGGCTGACGCCCCTCCCTTCCCGCCCGCCTAGTCGCCTTCAGTGGGAATATAAAATCCTACCCCCACCACAGTGCAGGACCAGACACACTCATGGCTCTCAGCGCTGAGACCAATCCCAAGGCAGAGGCGAGAGTGAGGGACAGAGCAGCACACACACACTAGAGAGGAGGGGAAGCAGCTTACAGGAATCACCTAAACTCCCAGGATTCCACTCGACCACCCAGCATAGCCAAAGTTCTGCGGATGGGTCACACAATGAGAAACCTGGCTGAGATGGGCTTGTTAAAGAACCGCTCTGCTTTCATCTGCAGGCCCACCCCAGAGGAGGCACTGAAATGGGGGGACTCGCTCGACAAGCTGCTGGCACACAAATGTAAGTTACTTATTCTTTCTCATCCCCTCAATTTATTCTCCCATCTTCCTCCACACTTCACACAAACGCTGCTAAGTCTTCAATGTGTTTGCCATATGGCTCAGTGCATGTTTGAGGTGGTGGGGGGAGGGTGACAATCCCAGGAACTGTGCTTATGTTGATGTATGGAGCCCATGTGTTGCACAGAAGAGAGAAAAAAGAGAGGAGGGGGTAGTCAACGTGCTGCTATTTTGTTTTCCACAATTCATCTTCCACAGCTCATGACTCTCAGTCAGAGCTGATCAAAAGCCAGCACTACATCTGTTCCTCATCCGGCTCTGTTGACCCCCTTTATTCTCCCTCTTCCAATTTCCTCTCTGCCTCTTACCTCACTCCTGAATGAGGTAAGAGATGACCGCTCTGCGTTGGCTCCGCTTATCAACGTGGGTGATTCATGGGAACGGAAAGGTGCAGACAGGAGCTGTGGGTGGACGCGGTTTCCTGCCTTTCTTTTCCCTGAGTGCAGACGTCTTCCTCAAATCATTAACCGCACCGAAACTGAAAAAGCCCCAAAGTTCCAGAATTAGACTTTCCCCCTCCTCCTCCTCCTCCTCCTCCTTCTCCTCCCCCTCCTCCTTACACCGAAACAGTCTCATCTTTGTTCATTCACAACACGTGCATAAAGAGATGCGTGCATGGATTGGGTCAGCGGTGTGATGAGATTTAAAAGTATGTCAAAGAAAATGTGGTGTTTTTCATGTCTCACTTTATTCCAACCACATGACTCGAACGGCCGTCACAGAGCTATTTTGGGCGCTGAAACTCCGAGGAGAGCTTCAGCTGTGAGGTTGCCATGGCACTCCAGGTCAACTCCTCTTGTTTATTCTCCTCCTCTCCTCTGCTCTGTCTCAGATGGTCTGGCGGCGTTCCGAGCTTTCCTGCGCACCGAGTTCAGCGAGGAGAATCTGGAATTCTGGCTGGCCTGCGAGGAGTACAAGAAGATCAAGTCGCAGTCCAAGATGGCCTCGAAAGCCAAGAAGATCTTTGCAGAATACATCGCCATCCAGTCATGTAAAGAGGTGAGTGAGGGGGAATGAAACTTGTTGCAGTTTTCTTAATGTTGTGTCTTAAGAGCGTAATCTCACAGCTTGTTTTTGTTTCTTTCCTCTGCAGGTAAATCTGGATTCGTACACCAGAGATCACACCAAGGACAACCTGCAGAATGTGACACGCTCCTGCTTTGACCTCGCGCAGAGGCGGATATACGGGCTGATGGAGAAGGACTCATATCCCCGCTTCCTCCGCTCAGAACTCTACTTGGACTTAATCAACCAAAAAAAGCCCAGCTCCACTTCGACTTCGTCTTCGTCATAAGAGACCAGGAAAAGATGAGAAAGCGAGAAGATGATGAGAGAAAAGCGGGGCAGACTTGAAAAACACACATCAGGGCGGGTGGGATGTGAGGTTCTTTGTTTGCCTTTTTTTATTTGTATATCTCTGTGTGTGTCATCCTGTCCACTATTTTATTTGAATTTTTTTGTGGTGTGACATGACGCGGCAAAGCTCTATGGCACTGCAAAGGAATGTAGTTTACAGAGTTACCAGGTGGATGCATGAATGGATGGACTGATGAATGGATGTTAACCTGAAAAAATATATATAGAAGCCCACATACGAGGGCTGGAGCGAGAGCTGGACGCTCGTCTGATCACTGTTGCGTTTTGTCAGTGTCTTGTGAGAGAATAATGACATTTGTTTGTGTTGTACTGGAGAAAAGGAGGGGTTGCTCCAAAAAAAAAAGAGACCCTGCAGACATAAAGACAGTCGGGTACTGTTTTGTCACTTTTTTTCCTTTCATTTTCTTTTTAAAATCCCCCCGTTCCTCCTCCATGTCCTATGTGAAGCCACTTCTAAAGCTGTTGGTACGACGCAACATCCTTTTTCTGCACGTTTTCATTTCCATCGGGGTTGCAAATCTGTGACGGAGAGAAAAAACAAACGACAAGATGATGTCTGAATGAAAACTAGTCATCTCTGTTAAACCCCACGATCTCTCAAAGCTTCTGTAAACCGCTTTCACTTCATCCAGAAAGACTGTGGAGAGTTACTGTGAGCGCTCAGCAGAGACAGAGACGGGGGCAAAGAACACGACGTGTATAAATAACGGAAGGTGTGGGTGTGAAGAAACACAGACGTGTGTCACTCTCACATTTTCAAAATCACACTCAAAGCCAGAGATGGAAAATAAAATAAAAGATGACGACTTGCTTCCTGTCTCCAAAGACTGTTTACAACAAGGAACGACGACTCAAGAAGAAAAAGGAACAACGTTCGGTGCAGCCAAGCAACATTTCCTTTAACATTGTAGCTCATTGTGGACTTATCAAGGAAGCGTTCTCAGGACATTGCCACGACAGGTTCCGGCTCTTGTTTTTCTACACACACTCGCTGTTATATATATTTTTTTTTATGTTTTAAGATTTCCGACCTGCACTCCCTACTCTTCTACTGAGCAACGCACGAGAGGCTGCTCGTGTCATAGTGCGAGGATAAAAACAAAAAACTGCTTCATGTTGTACAAAGGTTTGCCTATTTATTTAGATTAACAGGCTGGATGCTTCAACACACACCCTCACCTCCTCAAAGCACTCGGCTGAAAGCTCTCACTCTCCTCTTAACCACAAACAGGTCCAATGCTGACCTGAACTTTTAAGTGCAATATTGTTTTTTAATTTTAATTTTATTATTGTTTTTGGTTTCTTTGTTTATTTGGATGATTTAGATTTTTTTTAACGGGGAAGACGAACGGCTTGAGCTCTGTATTAACTTTATTTGTTAAGAGAAGAAAAAAAAACTTTAGAGCTATAAGGTTGACTTACAACGTAAACTTTCAAGAACCATTAAGTAGTTTAAAGAATTTTAAGCAAGTGATTCTAATTATGTGTCGACCCCCCGGCAGCAGGCAGCCGGGGGACGTTATGGTTGTAAATATAATTCTTTAAGAAAACTATGTGATAACACATTAAAAACAAACAAAAAACAAGAAACGGATCGGTCTCTGCTGGTGATGAACGTGGGACCCAGCTGTATCTATGTACATATGAGAGACTCAAAACTATAAGATGACGTGTATTGTTCAAAAATGATAAAAAATACAACAATAGGTGAGCGAGAGCAGGTCCAGTCTGCTCCTGTCCCTGGTCATACACTGCTTGTAAGGAGTTTTATGAAATGCATTTTTATCATTTTCACTGTTTACAATTCAAAATGCATCTCCCATGATAACAAGTGAAAAACAGTAGAGTACATTTGGTGTCATTGCTAATGATAAATAAACCAACCAACTGATGAAGTAAAGACGTGTTTGTCTCTGGATCTTTCTTCAGATGTGTATTTGTTTGTGTGTCTGAGATGTGCAGTCTGGCTCAGATGTAGACGTGATGAGTAAAGTTGCTTCAAGGAATAATTCACATGAGCTTAGTATGAAGCTGCAGCCACATGATGAGGTTAGCTTAGCATAGCATATAGAGTGTGGATACCCGAACCTTTGAACTCAAACCTGAACGTCATTTCAAAAATTTTGTTTGAACCTGGCCCGGCCCGTCGGGAAAGTTGGGACCCAAACCCATGCTTGTGTTTTATCTTGTGCATCCGTTGGGTCCTGACAGGCCGGGCTGGGTTCAAACTAAAGTTTTGAAATGATATCCAGGTTTTGGTCAGTCATAAACGTGGACTGGTGCGTTCAAGCTCTGTTCAGAGGTAATAGACTGAGCTTACACTCAATATGAAGCTGCAGCCACATGGTGTGGTTAACTTAGCAAAGCACATCGAGTGTGGCTACCCAACCTTTCAAAACATTAGTTTGAAACCAGTCCAATGGGTCCTGATAGGCCGGGTTCACGTTTTGTCACTTTGGCTTGGCGGTTTTCTTTAAACTCCATGTGTCCGTAATCAGGGAAAACAAACAATGACTACGTCTGTCGGGAACAGAGTAACACAAACTCAGTGCAGCTACATTAACTACATCATACTCAAAAAGCAGAATTCAGGTTTAGTAGTCGAGCCTCTGTCCAAAGTTTAAAAACAATTCTACATGTTCATCAACACTTTTCATTTGTGGAATCTGTTCCAAACCTCAAGTATAAAATATGACACATTGTGGTCACACAGTGAGGGTTTGTGCCAAGGACTCGAGGTGAGGACAGGACTCCAGGACTATGCCCTGGAAGAGAAATTTAAAGACATGATATAGCGAGCACGTTAATAAGTGAGCTTCAGAGGTGACGGGTGTTTTTTAACCTTTCCCCTCGTTCTCGCTGAACTTAGTTACTGTTTGGCTCTGAAGCTTCATAAATAGTTTGCAGACATCTCATCTCAAGTAATTAAGCGCATTTCCCAGAATGTTTTCCTTTGAGTAACGTGAACAGTGAAAACCATCCACGACGAGGAAGTGTGCGTTCATTAAAACGTGGCTCTAATTTCACAGCGTTAATCATCACTCCTGTTGGTAATAACAGCCATAAAGTTTATTCCCATGAACTGGCAACACTGACAAGACGTTTGATGGAGTAAAAAACACAGGATGTGAAATGGTTATAAACAGGCGTCCCAAATTACAAACAGATTCCTCCTTCTCTCTGTCCTGTAGTCGTGTCCTCACAATGAAGAATTATCAACCATATTTTAAGTATAAATCAGCTCCCCCACCCCAAATAAACCGGTTTAGATTAATACGCCTTAAATCCTGGTTTGTTTTGTCCTGTCAACGCTGCACTGAGGAGGTTATGTTTTCACCTGTGTCTGTTTGTTGGGCTTTTGCAGATTTGCAAAAGCTACCAAAACCTTAGAAGGAACCCATTACATTATGGTTTGGAAGAAGAGGTGGAGCCAGATTTTTTAACAGTCCCCTCGAATCCAATCAAGCTGCACCAAACTTCACACACTCATAGATATCAGCCGCCTAAACAGGCCTGATTATGTAAATCCAAATCCATTTATTATTCCCTGAAAAAATCTCGTCATGATAAAGAAAGAAAAAATAAAAACAATCCTGGATCCAACCCCTGACCTGAATCTGCACCACCATGTGATGAGCTCTTTCCTGACACAAACCACAACCAAGTTTTGTGGAAATCCGTTCTGGTGTATTTGTGTGATCAAATAAACACACATGGGTGAAAACTGTTCTCGTATTCTCTTGTATTTTATACATGCAACACGTCTAATCTCCCACACAAACTGAAGAATTGTGCGTCTGGTTTGAATTACTGACACAATCCTTAATGTAGTGGAGAGGGAGCGGAGCCACGAGTGCGATGGAGATGCCGACCGTCACGACTCGTCTGGTTTTCTGAGGAGAGGAGAGGAGTGAGTGTGACATGGGGTCGAGTGTCGGGCGGGTTGTTGGGACGGGATGAAAGGAAACAGTTGGAGGCCTGTGAGTGCAGCGTGTGTGTGTGTGTGTTTGGAGGGGGTTGATCAGTCTGAAGTGGTATTGGAGACAGTAGTAACAGCACCTAATCTTCTTTACCAGCTGCCATCTGTTTCGATGGACACAGGTTCTTTTTTCCTCTCTCGGCCTGTTTCCTCTCCGTCTCTCCCCCCGTCGACCGCATCTTTGTCTTCACGACCCACGCTTGAGTTTTTCCACGGCAATCTTGTACGCCACACAATGGGGGGGTGGGGGGATTCCGGTCTACAATGGGGGGGTGGGGGGTTCCGCTCTCTCTCTTTCTGGATTTTTTTTCACCAAATCCTTTTGTTGGAGTTTCCTTCCTCTCTGTCATCTGTGTAAACCGTATTACAGTCTCTGCCAGTTTTTTTTTCTAATTCAGTAAGGCCCGAAACCCGCCAGCTCACATTTCCTGCTTAGATCTCTGGTCTCCTCCTGCTCCTAATATGGCTGTCGATGTTTTCTCCTGTCTGACGGTGTCTTATCTGACATTCCTGTCAAGCAGAACATTTGTCCCCAGGATATGGTGTGTTATTATCTTTATTTACAGAAATATCCATATCCGAGTCTTGCTGGACCAGAGGGAAACGAGTTTAGTGTTAAGTTTTTATGTATTGCTTTATTTATTTATCTCAAACTGAAGCTTGAATTCTTAAATTAGTAGTTTGACATTTTTGGAAATACGTTTAATTGCCTCTGTCCCACTTCCCCATTTCTTTGGATCTGCACCACATGTCAAAAATCAGTCCACTGAACTTTGATAAACTACTATAAACACTGTATATTAGCATTTGTGAGTCTCTCTTTGTCAACGAGTTATATTAACATTCGATCAGAATGTGGATGAATTTCTTAAAGCTACAGCAGAATTATACAAGTTGAACAATACAAGACTTTCTGTTTTTTCACATTTTCACTCAAATAAAAACATGATATCATTGTATGTCAAAACGAAACGGCATCATGATCTCAGAGGAGCCGTAATACGCAGTCGTGCAGGATTCAGGGACTTCCCCTCTCTTCCCTCATATTATTATTGTCTTTATTTGCGCAGCAGTCAAGGGGCTTAAACCTCGATTAATCCTTAATTCTCAGATCAGCCGATCCTTTCAACTGTTGGCAGGTTTACAAACGCAACATCACGCCTCTCCCACTGTCCTCGCTCGCTCTGAGGACCCCTCCGCCCCCAAAATTACCTTTAGCTCAGCTGTGGACTTTAGCACAACATGTGGATAAATAAAAAAGGATTTACTGAATGTCTGTACATCTATTTATTCTTCTAAATTTATCTGATTTCCTCTTGAGCTCAGGATATTTTTATTTTCTGGCCGTCTGTCAGTTCACAGGAAGTTTCCATATTGTCCACAGTCCGGCACAAGTTTTTGGGTTTGAAGGACCCGAGGGGCCCGTAACAGCGCTGAGCTTACCTACAGTTTTGCAGTGTTTGTGCACGTGACACACTACCTGCCCCACGTGCACCACCGCTCCCTGAGCAGTTTTCCATCATGTCACCGCCGCTCGATAACTCCAGCGGATGCCGTCATCGGACGCTGGAAGACAGGGACTTTAAAAACAGCACCAGACAGAGGAAGGAAGCAAGATTTAATAGCCTGTCTTATCCCAGTGCTCTAATCAAAACAGGTCAGCTTTATACATAGACTACCTTTATGGAAATAGATTTATACAAAACATGCTGATGTTTTTTAAATTACAGGAAACGACGATCTTTAATGGAATAATTTGATGTTTTAGAAAATACACTGTCTTGCTGAGATTAGGATGATTAATTCCAGTCAAATGGTCGTACACTGAAAATGCAGCTCCACCCAGCCGCCAATTAAATATAGCTTAACAGACAGGAGACTGGAAACAAGGGGAAACAGCGAGAGTGGCTCGGTCCAAATGTAATAAATTACCAGCAGCTATGAAATTCACAAATTGTTACAGTTCATTCTGTTTATTTAAATCAGTGCAGCAAACCAAATCAATCCTCTGTCCATCCAATAATTATGCTGCTCATCTTTTGAGGGTCAAATCCCAGATGATGTTGAGCGAGAGGCGGCGAACATGCTGAACAGGACAGATCACCAGCGTATGAATTCAATCAAAGTTATATTCTTCACACTGACGGACACGATGAGTCACAGTTCTGATAACAGACTGAGCCTAAAAGTTCCTCTGACGGCCATAAGTGAATGATGTGTGATAGAAAAAGTGCTGCGTATAGAATAATGTGTGAGTGAATGGGTGAATGTGACTTGTGCTGTACAGTAAATTAAGTCCTGCAGTCACCACTGAACCAACCACAGGATGCACATTTTTGTAGCAAGTCGAGTGAATGAGTGAAGATCTGTATGTGTGTGTGTGTGTGTGAGAGAAAGAGAAAGAAAGAGAGAGAAAGAGAGAGAGAGAAAACTCTTCCCTTCATTCTTGAAGCATGACCAAATTCTTTAAGAGATTCAGGCGGACAGAGCTGGACTAATAGCAAGCAGCTGTGGATACCTGAATCACACACACACACCGTACACACACACCATACATAAAACTTGTGTCGACCATCATGTGCGTCACGTAGCTATCGGATGTGCGTAAGAAGACATTTATTCAAAGTTAAAAATATACTGTATAATTAGCTTTTTGATCCCAATCACATATTTATTCTTAAATTTGTCCTCGTGAATTTATAGACTTTTAGTATATCTGGATTGTTAACACTTGTTTGCATTTTGGATTTGTTCATTCTTGTTTTACTTTGAAACTTCTTTCCTCTTACTTTATTTCTTTGTCTGATTGTCCCTCTCCTGTGATTCTCTACACGTGCCTCATGTGTCTCACCTGACTTCAGTGATCCCTGCCTCCTTCAGTCTCATTCTCTTCTGTCTGCCCTGGGTTCCCTCATGCTTCA